CGGGAGTTGGCCGGGCCCGCTGTGGCGTTCCAGCAGCCGTACCTTATGGGAGGGGCCTGTGTGATGGCCAGGCCCGGTGTGGTGCTCGAGCGCCCACATGTTATGGGAGGAGTGAGGGGAGAGTGGCTGGGCCCGCTGCGGCGCTCGAGCTTCCGACCTTGACATTTTGCTTGTCTTCGTCCTGCTCGTTCTCCCTCCTCCGTTTCATCTTCCACTTCCTAGTCGTCCTCCTCCCCCATCCATCCTCCCGCATTCTCCTCTATCCTGCCTCCTCCTTTCGCATCCCCCCTCCTCTTCCTCCTCCTCCTCCTCCTCCTCCTCCTCCGCCTCCCCCTCGTCCTCCTCTTTCCTCCCCCCTCCCCCTCCCCCGTCTTGTCCTCTTAGATCACCCTTCCGCAACATCCGTCCCCCATTGTCCTCCTCCCCCCTCCCTGTGCCTCCTCGTTCGTCCTCTCTCTTCACCTTAAGAAATCCATTGCCCCGTGAAATAGTAACATTGGTGCGCAGAGCCACAGCTCCGTGGATAGCATGATGATTCACGTGCAGTGCCCCGTGGATCCACATTCGTGTGGGCTCCAGAGATTAATCAATCTTATACATTTATTCCAGGAGCATAGATAGATCCTTGGTTTTTCCACACAAGCGACATTGGATCCGCGCTACCCGAAAAATGGGATCCACGACGTTGTTACGCACCTGGAAGGATATCCACGTGAAGGCATTTGCATTGTCATGTTTATATTCCTAGTGGACAAATCGTTCGACCTAGGGATGTAGGTTTTGTGTTGCAAGAATCTGGGCTGACGAACGGGAATAAGTCGCAAGGGCCTCGCCAGGCACCAGCCGTTGCGCGTCACGATGGCGGTAGTGTGACCACCACGATTGCCGCTGTCAGTCACCCCTGGCGCAGCTACGACAAGGCAGTTTGATACACATGACGTGGCTTGCATGGGCGAGAGCTGGATGCACATCTGGCCACAACCGGTGATCCTTCGTATGCGTATCCAGGAAGCGGCCTCCGCATGGTCCGCATGTGAGTCCAGCCGTGTGCGCGTTCAGCTTCCCAGTGCAATGTGTCTCGCAACATTTTTCGAGCCGCCACTAGATCGTCACCGCCCTTGGTGTGATGCCTTCGGGGGATCGAGGAATTGCTGTCTATTCCTGGGCGGAATGTGCACAGAATAGTAAACCGTGGGTGGATCGCCGGCAGACGCCTGTCGAAATAAAAATCGGCCCTCCAAGAGCAAATTGTTTTGGATCCAGGGTTGTTGCAGCGAGCCACACTCAGGGCCACCGTGGTCAGACTGGCAAGTGCGACTTCTAGCAGCATCGCCAAAGTAGAGGCATATCGGTCTGCATCTGTTATGTTGCCATACCAAATGCTTTCATCGTTTTATCGTTGCGCTACAGTGCCATTGTTGTTTTCCGAATTTGACGGCTTTGCCGACACGTCATGGCGCCACTATAGTGTGTTACACACATTTGTATATTCGATTGGGGTGGAGCCTTTCGGATTTATTGAGCCCACAGGGCGGGAGTCACGGCGGGCCCACAGGGGGAAGCTTGCACGCATATTTTGCAACCGATAGGTGTTAGGCATACCGCCTCGACGTTGGTCGGTCCTAGTCGTGGCAATGTTTATTGGGGCCATGTTGGCGTTCCGTGGGGGGTCGGACAGCCTCTTGGGCGTCCCAGGGGAGTATGAGACAGGAAATGCGTGAGTGGCGTGCAGAATTGAGGCGTTCGTGGCCCTGCGGTGGCAAATCACTTGCATGTTTACGTGCATCAGGAGCCCGAGAGCGCAGATCGCATTTAGTTTCGCGTGTCAAACAGGAGAATCAAGGTGCGGCTGCCTTCTTCGGGCCGTTCCGCCAGCGATTTTTGCGCCTCCATTTTCTGAGCATTTCTACGGCAAAATGGTCATGTTAGCATACGGTGAGGGCGTTTGTTAAAGAACGTGCACGGGAGGCTTCAGACCTTGGAGGGTTCTTTATTTGATGCGGGCGGCGGCAATATCCACTGCCAATCCGCAATTGGATATCCACAGGCTTCCAGACCCTGGATTCCTTATCTAAGGGTTCCTTGTCCAGTGCCCCCACCGTAAGAAAAACTCGAGCTAGAACCTCCAGCAAGCAAATTTGTCAGAGTCCCCTCGCGGTCGAACGGCTCGGGCAGGCGGAATGGGCGAAGCTCTTTTTTTGCATGCCTTACGCAGGTTTCTCCATCTCCTCCACACAGTTTTGTTGGAAGCAGGTTCGACGTCCCAATGCACGCATTTCTTTTCTTTTGGAAGCAGGTTCGGCTTCTCAATGCACACAATTTTTTGGAAGCAGGTTCGACTTCCCAATGCACGCAGTTCATCTTCCATATCATATATTTTCGAAGGCTGACGCAGCGTAGGCCCGCAGCGGGCCAGCCGAATCGAGACCCCCCCACAATTGTGTTTGACGAAGCCCGTTCGACCACCCCCCAAAAGCAGATCCCCGCCATTATTATGAGATCCGGAGTAATCGCTTCGCTTATTCCGCTGGCCCATGGCTGGCGAGAAGGAGGATCGGGGACTCGATGGGGGAGGAGACGAGGAGGAGGCCTCTCGACGACTTCCTGGGACACTGTGGGGACCAAACTGAGTCGCGGACAGGACGACTCTTTCGAAGGCCTTTGGGTTTATTGGGAGGCCTCCTGGGTGCCTCTTGGCAGCATTTTTGAGACCTCCTGGGGCCTCTTAGGGTTTCCGTGGGGCATTCTTCAGGCTTCCGAGGAACTCTTGGGGGTTTCTTCGGGGCCTGCTGGCGGTCTCGGGGGCCAACTTTCTTGGAAGGCGCGATATGTCTGTTCGGGTTCCCCCTCTTGGGGCACTCATACGAGCCAATGGAGCCCTCTGGGGAAGCCTCTTGGGCCGTCTTGGGGTTCTCTTGGGCCGTCTTGGCGCTGTCTTGGGAGCCTCTTGGGCTGACTTGAAGCGATATTGGAGACCTCGGGGGCCGTCCTGGGCGGTCGGAAGCTTGAGGAGGTGGTAGCGCCAAAACCGATAGCCACGCAAATTCAATGAAATGTTGCTTCTTCGGGCCTTCTTAGGGTCCTCTTGGAGCCATCTTGGGGCATCTTGGACGTCTCTTGGGCTGTGTTGAGACCAACTCGGGCTATCTTGGAAGGCTCTTGCCCTGAGGCCGTGAGGCCTGCCACCTATTCGGCGTATCCTTTGGGCGCTCCGGGGGGCCCCAGAGCCGCGCCCAGGAGTTCCGGTATCTCTGATCCGACCCAGCCGGGACTTGGTTGGGTTTTTTTGTCCGTCTGGAGACCCCCCCAGGGGCCGCCATGCTCCGCGAATTAGAAAGACATGTGTAACTTTACCCGAGATTTCAGCACGCCTGTGCCCCACTGGGCCAGCGATTTTTACAGTCGCTGTTATCTGCCACTAGTGTTGTTGCGATTGGTTTTGCGGGTACCACCACTGTTACTGCATCTGCTAAACCACCTCGGCTAGTATGTTTGCTGCGGTCTTTGCGATTATCTTGATCCTCATCAAATCCCTTACGCCTAGTTAGTGATCGCGCAATCACTGACTGCGCTGACGGCTTCTAACTGGTGATCTAGGGGGGGCCTCGTGTGTGCGTGTGTGCCCGTGTCCATAAAAGGACATGCCCACAGTGGGGCGCGGCCTTTGCTATACCTGCGCGTTGTGTTCTCTGTGGTTAGCCGTAGGCCACTGCGTGCTGGACTTCTGGGGGTCCAGAAGGCTCCAAGACTTCAGTGCCCTTCTGGGTCTGGCTTTGAAGTAGTGGCTTGTGGGGCCCCGACCACAGAGTCACGCCCATAGGGCCCCCGCGTTTGGGGCCATGGTGTCTCGGCCCCACTGGCAGGACGGCCCTGCCCCGAGCAGCCTTGCCGTGCTGGCTGCACGGTGTTTGCCCGCTGGGCTGCCCCCCCCCCCCCCCCACAGACAGGGTCCCGCTATCGGTCGCCCACGTTGCCGGTTGGGGGTCCTTTCCCTCTTTTTTTTCCCTCTCCCTCTCCCTCTCCTTCTCTCTCTTTCTCTTTCTCTTTCTCTTTCCATCTCTCTCTCTCTCTCTCTTTCTCTCTCGGGTCGGACGACAGGGGGGGGGACTTGGCGAGGGGAGGGGGCCGACGAAATCTGCTGCATGCAGCTGGCACCGGCCCCGCCGCTGGGCGCTTCCCCTCGGCACAGGGCCGCCTCGAGGCGCGGAGAAAGCAGGCTGCGTGCGCTGGTTCGCTACGGAAGGACGCGCTACGTGGACCCACGCTGCTTTCGAACGTACGCGCTGCGCGGACGTTGACATCTCGCGATGCTGGTCTCGCGGGTCCGGGTGGACGTGTTCATGCACGTGGTTGGGCGCGTAAGCTCTTTGCGGGCTTCCTACCAGCCCCCCTTTTCGTCACACCCGATTCCCTCTCTGCCGTCATCTGGCGCCAGGGATCCAGAATTCCGACGTCGTGCTCCTTGTCGGAGCGAGCGCCCTCGGAGATCTGGACCCGTTCCCAGGACGGGCTTTTCGTCCCGCGTTGATGTTTGACAGTCTTGTGGCCCAGTCAGGGCCCCCGGAGGCCCAAAATGGTAAAGCTATGCATCCCGTCGTGATTTTTCGCAACGAGAGAAGGCGGAGGAAGAGGGGCGGAGCCGGGCCGCCGCCGCCGCCGCCGTCGTCGCCGCCGTCTTCGTCGTCGTCGCCGCCGTCTTCGTCGTCGTCGACGTCGCCGTCGTCGTCGTCGTTGTCGTCGTTTTCGTCGTCGTCGTCGCCGCCGTCTTCGCCGTCGTCGCCGCCGTCTTCGTCGTCGTCGACGTCGCCGTCGTCGTCGTCGTCGTCGTTGTCGTCGTTTTCGTCGCCGCCGTCGCCGCCGTCTTCGTCGTCGTCGCCGTTGTCGTCGTGGTCGTCGTCGTCTTCGTCGCCGCCGCCGTCGTGGTCGTCGTGGTCGCCCTCGTGGGCGTCAGCGTCGTCGTCGGCGTCGCCGTCGTCGTGGGCCGGGCCTGGGCCGGCGAGGCCTCTGCGTGCTCCTCCTGGTTCCCGCGGCGGGCGGCGCCGCGCTGCTCGGCAACGCGCGGCGGACGCGGACCCCGGCGACCGGGCGGGCGTGCGCGCGCGCGCGCTGTGCACCTCATCCTCGTTGTCGTCGTGGTCGTCGTCGTCGTCGTGGTCGCCGTGGTCGCCGTCGACGTCGCCGTGGACGTCGCCGTCGTCGTCGTCGACGTCGTCGTGGTCGTGGTCGTCGTCGTCGTCGTTGTCGTCGTCATGGTCCTCGTTGTATCATCGTCGTCGTTGTCATCATCTTCATCATCATCCTCCTACTCCTCCTCTCCTGGTTGTTGCCGAGCTCGAGGGCTTCTCGTCTGGAGGTTTCTGAGGACCTGGTGTTTCTACTTGACGAGCCTGACGAGGGTTAGGCTGGTTCTGCTCTGCGGAGAGGGGAGCCCTGACCCATCTAGTCATACAATCATACACGCTCCTCCTCCTTCTCCTCCTCCTCCTGCGCACTCCCCTGAAAGACGAACTGGGCTGCGCGCCAGCTTGGCCGCGAGGTGCGGCTTGGCCTCCGACCCATCATATGAGTTTATTGGCGTATGTAGATGGGCCCACGCACTCTCGGGCGGTCTGAACGTCAGCTGGGATCCAGGCTCTTTGAGATCGCTCAGCACGTCGACAAAGCACTCAGCCAGGGCTCTCGAGACTTAAGCACGACGGACCTACATGATTCCCCCCCTGAGTGCCGCAATTCAGCTTCACAGTTGCGGTACGCTCGTCTATCCACTGAGCCTGGGGGAGGGGTAAAGACCGGCAGTGTGTTGACTTCAGGTGTGCAGCAAGACTAAAGCAAAAGGGGATTCCAACGGCGAGAGTCAAAGAACATCTAAGCTCTGCGTTTGCGTCCTGCACTGCCTTTTCGACCCTTGGCGCGAGTGGAGCTGTCCCCCGCGGCTTCGCACACGATCTGACTGGACGGCGGTGTCTTGCATCAGAGGAGGGAGCCCACGTCTTGCACGTTGGTCGGGCCACCACTCCGACCACCCTCCTCTGCAGCATGCAATGTGCGATGGACTGCCTGACATGTGGCATCAGAGCTAGCTTGGCCGAAACAGAAATCACAACCACGAAGCACACGAAACGATAAAACTCCTCATCCTCCTCCTCCTCCTCCTCCTTGCCCCTTTCTATCGAGACTCCTATTCCAGGGGCAGACTCTCTTCTTCATTGTATATCGTGAAGGGGCCACACATGCCCCAGTTGCGGCCGCTCCTTTCAGGGCGGTGATGGCACAGCAACAGCTTCGTCTTCTGGGGTGGAATCCTCAGTCATGTACGGGAGATAGGCTTGAAGAAGTGGTGGTGGAGACATCGAACTTCGACCTGATTTTGTTGGCTGGAACTCAGGCGGTGGACAGGAGGCAGCAAATTTCTGGGAGCGTCGTCTTACGTCGTCGAGTGCAGGGACGTCTAGTGATTGAGGCTCCCTTCGGCCCATCGGCTCCTCTAAGCAATTCCAGTACGGGGTGTTCGGTCATCTTGGGCAAAGGGTTTCAGGAGCAGCATATTATTCAGACGTGGGCCTCCCCTGCGGAGGCCAAAGGGCGGTGTCTTGGAGTCAGGGTGAAACGGGGACGGAGTGATATTTGTGGCATCAGCTTGTATTTCCCACCGAAGCCGTCTCGTCTCCAGCATCGTCCATTGTATCTTCGAACGGTTCGTGTTCTTATTGAATGGCTCCGCACTGTTCTCTCTGCGCTGCCGCAGAGAACGACGCCTGTGATATACTGTGACGCCAACGACGGGATTGGCATTCCAGCAGGAGGGAAAGGAGCATCTATTGAGACAGTGGTGGTGCAATCCCCGTCACCTGAGCGACTGCGCAGAGGAGCAGGTGAGCAGCTGCGCGAACTACTTCAGACTCATCAGATGACGGCGACCAACGCACGTGGGACATCAGTTATTCCAACTTTTTTCGGTCAGGATGGTGGCAAGTCTCGTATCGATTATCTGTTCATCCCCACGGGCATGGAGGACTCAATTGCCCACGCACATGTGCTACACAGACTAAGTGCTCGGCTTCAGGCGTTCCAAGGCCCCAGCCCACGTGATCACTTACCATTAGAATGTACTTTGTGGTATTCGCAGCACACTATTGGACCGACTGCTCCGCAGACCCGTCTGCGATGGGATCGTGATAAGATGATGCCAGCTCTTCAACGTGGACAGAACAAAGCTAGTTTTCTCAATTCGGTTCAGGAACAACTTGATCAGCGAGGAGCATATAACTATTTGCGAGAGTACGGCTCCCCAGATGAGATTTTCGAGCTTCTGGAGGATTGTATAACGACTGCAGGACAGACTCACTTTGGCATGACGACGCTCGACGGTGATGCGCAGCGGCAGGCAGACTGCAAAGCACGGCGGCTATTCTTGCATCAACGTGCAGACTTACGCGAAGGAAAGTGAGATGCCTCCCCTGAGGAGGCCCAACACATAGACAACGAGCTGAAGCGCATCTCTCAAGAACAACGTCTCGTACGACGAAAAGCCTCTCGTGCCCTTCAATCTCAGCTGGTGGCGGAAGCAACGGACTTATGGAATCACCAGAAGCAGGCGGAAGCAATGAGAGTGGCACGAAGAGCTGCACGCACTCGTATAGGACCCAAGAAACGCGATGGTCTTCTGGTTCGAACAGCAGCACCCACTTCACAGGCATGGTTAGATGTGTGGTCTCTCGAAGGTTCTCAGGGCGGGATGGCTGTTCAACCCCAGGATTGGCTTGAATGGCGTGCAGAACGTGATGGTCCGCAGTATTGGTGGGAGTCGTCTGAGGAGATTATTGACCTGTGTAAAGAAGATGTTGATCGAGTTATTCGATGGATGCGACGCGCAGCTAAACGACGAGCAGTTCCAGACTTCACGGCACCATTAGAGCTCTGGCTGATGCTGTTCCTCCCAAAGAAGGCTCTCAAACAGCGTCGTGGCCAGGGCATAGGATCCGACATGAGTGTGCCGAAAAACTCAGGCTTCAGATTTCTGGTAGAAGTGGGCTTGGCGAAGATCAGGATGCACAACATCAGCCCCCTTCTACTGGCATCGGACAGAAGGAGCAGGCCTACGTAAATCTAATCTAGCAGGTCCCCGAGGTCGCCGAGTGGTTCATGTGATGGCAGCTATTGGGAAGGCGTACTACTCGACTTTGCTCAGACCCCCAGCGACGGCCCAGGACCACGGCTACTACCGACACCGTCGACGAGAGGACGCAGTCATGGGGGCTCTGATCACATCATGGCGTCTACGAGCTCAAGGCATCACGCACGCCATGACGCTCAAGGACATGTCTAACGCGTCCGGCAGCTCTGTATGGGACCAGCTGGACACAACCGTACTTCTTCACTCTCGTGAGTGTGATCGCGCACTTTGCCAACAAAGATATAAGAATGCTATTATTTCGCTGGGCGCGCTTGAGGGCCCTCTCACAGTTCGACCTTCACAGGGGAACACGATGGGGGATCCTTTTGCTGTCCGAGCCTTCGTAGGTACATTCGCACGCCCAATTTTGTCCTGGAGGCATGGGGAGTCCCAAGCTGATGCTCAGTCAAAGAGATTGCGTGCATCTTGGCAGGGACTCCAGGCCGACCTTAGCACGTACAAGTGCGCTGACGATATCAACAGTTTTGTCCTGGCGGACCCGCAGATGTCGTTGAGAGATTACACAGCAAAGATTGAGACGGCCGACGCCAGACTTGACTCCTATATTTTTGATTTTGGTTACGGCCAGAACGGCACCAAGCAAGAGTACCTTATGTTTTTCGCTGCATGTGGCTATCAGTGTCGCCAGTTGCTCCGCCAAGACCCCTCTCTCCTCCAGGGCTCCGTTCGGGAAGAAGCTAGATATCTTGGGCCTTATTTGCAGCTTAGCGCTTCGGCTAAATCTGAGATCTCCAGGAGGTGCTCGGCGGCTCGCTCGGGCTTTTTCTCCCTGGGCAGGGCGTGGAGTCTTGGGATCCCGAAAAGATGGAAACGTAGCCTCTTCATCGGGTTCGTTCAGAACGCTTTACTAAGTGGGCTAGAAAGTTTCGTGGTCACGGAGACGGACACTACGATTTTAGATGGCTGCTTCGCTCGTCTGGGGCGTATCGCTATGATGGGGAAAGCTACATCCTGGGAGGGCCCGCACGTGAAATCATTATCGACTAAACAGGTACTTGAGTATTGGAAGCTGGCCCCCTCCTCGCTGGAGCTCTTGATTCGCAGAGTTAAGCTGGATCAGTCGTGGAGTGCGCACCCGGAGGAACATGCTCAGATTTTATGCGCATTATTTGGCTCGTCTCCTATCGAATTCATGCGACCTCCAATGTGTGCAGGACGACCTGCATCGAACTCTTCGCCTTGGGCAAAACAGGTGGCGTCCGATTTGGATCGTGTCTCCAGGCTGCTCCCTTACGAGAGCGCGCGAGATGTTGCCAATGATTTGCGTCTTTTCACCGATTTGGAGGCCTCAGAGGATTTTCGGAGAGTGGATATGACTGAGCTTCGGAGCCAAGCTTTCTCTGTCTGCATCCCCCCTCCTGGATATGCCCCACCAGTGGTCCCTCCTGAAGAGCCTGAAGATCACGCAGAGGTTGAGTTGCCTTTTGTGTGCCCGATGGACCTCAATGAGGAGCCTTGTAAGAGCGCCTTCAGTACCCGTAAGCAGCTACTTGAACATCTACGGCATTGTCATCAACTACGCAACCTAGCACATGTATTAACACCTAGCAACGTTTGCATCCACTGTTTGCAGACCTTTGCAACGCAAGTTACTGCCGCCCGTCACCTACTTCGATCACTACAGAAGGGAAACTGCCTCACATGTGGACCTCGTGCACTGGCCCCGATGGTTACCCCGTCGTCCTATGAGTGCCCATGCTGTGACTATGTGGGAGAGGATACGCTGTCTCTCTGTCGCCATCTCCGAAGCCATCTGCCTGTCCAGATAGCGCCCTTCATATCAACTACTCGTACGATCAGTACCGACGTGCACGGCTTTCATCATGGAAGTCGAGGCTCTCCAGAGACCTGCTTGGTTCAAAAGTGCCGCCTCCCCAGGAGCC